CCACAGTGTTTTCCACACAAACATTGCAACACCATACTAATGTCTGATAGCCAGGAAGTGAACCTGACTATGGCTTTTGTGATCCATGCAGTCAAACTGCCATACCCAGGCAGAGTTCCACTGATGCCCATGGGGCTCCACATCAGTGCAGCAGTCCATTCCCAGGGATCACAAGGTAGAATCAGAGCCTTAAAGCAAAATACAAAAACAAACAAACCAAAAAAACCCTGACCAGCCTCATTTCACGTCTAAGCTGAGGGAAGGGCAAATAAATGAAGGCATAAATAATAATGGCTAAGTATGATCTTAAAAATCCATCTGTTTTAATATTACATAGTGGTGGTAGCAGTAAATGAAACTTTAAAAAAAAAAAAAGATTCTTTAACCTGTCAGTAGAATGTCCCTTGAATTGACTACACTAAAATACTCCGATTACTAGGTGTACCTTAAGGGCACTTTAAAGGTGAGCTGAAAAGAATGTTTAAAGGCATGCTTACGTAATGCTGTGGCACGAGGCTGTAACAGTGTGACATGATGACGTAACGAAGAGGCACAGCGATACAATGGCACAGCTTGGTGATGTTGCAGGGCTACCTTTTGATGTTATGGCGCTGCACAATGAGGTAATGGTGCAGTGACATAACAAGGTGTGGTGATGTCACGCTGTGGCACTGTGATATAATAATGCAGTGTAAGGCTGTACTGTTCAATGGTATAATGGCAAAGCATGATCATGGTGGGCTGTGGCATGGTAATTTTAACATGCAGTGCTGTTATGTAATTACATGGCAATGTAATGTGTCACTGCGCTGTAACAGCATGGTACAGTGATAAAACAGCATGGCAAGAGAATGAAATGGTGCTATGATGCATCACTAATAATGCACCATTGTAACACAGCAGCAGTGTAATGGCACAGTAATATGATGTGACTGACTGCAATGAACAAAGCCATGTGAGTCCCAGACTGCCGAGACTCATCAAGCCCTCGGATCGCTACCCCTTCCTGCTTCTCCACGTGGGCACCAGTGATGCTGCCAAGAATGACCTTGAGCAGATCACTGCGGACTACGTGGCTTTTGGAAGAAGGATAAAGGAGTTCTCGTCCATCCTCCCTGTGGAAGGAAAAGGCCGAGGTAGGGACCGTCGAATCGTGGAAGTCAACGAATGGCTACACAGGTGGTGTCGGAGAGAAGGCTTTGGATTCTTTGACCATGGGATGGTGTTCCAAGAAGGAGGAGTGCGTGCTAGGCAGAGACGGGCTTCACCTAACGAAGAGAGGGAAGAGCATCTTCGCAAGCAGGCTGGCTAACCTAGTGAGGAGGGCTTTAAACTAGGTTCACCGTGGGAAGGAGACCAAAGCCCTGAGGTAAGTGGGGAAGTGGGATACCAGGAGGAAGCACGAGCAGGAGCACGTGAGAGGGGAGGGCTCCTGCCTCATACTGAGAAAGAGGGGCGATCAGTGAGTTATTTCAAGTGCCTATACACAAATGCACGAAGCCTGGGAAACTAGCAGGGAGAACTGGAAGTCTTGGCACAGTCAAGGAATTTCGATGTGATTGGAATAATAGAGACTTGGTGGGATAACTCGCATGACTGGAGTACTGTCATGGATAGATATAAGCTGTTCAGGAAGGACAGGCAGGGCAGAAAAGGTGGGGAGTTGCACTGTATGTAAGAGATCAGTATGACTGCTCAGAGCTCAAGTATGAAACTGCAGAAAAACCTGAGTCTCTGGATTAAGTTTAGAAGTGTGAGCAACAAGGGTGATGTCGTGGTGGGAGTCTACTATAGACCACCGGACCAGGGGGATGAGGTGGACGAGGCTTTCTTCTGGCAACTCGCAGAAGTTACTAGATTGAATGCCCTGGTTCTCATGGGAGACTTAGATCACCCTGATATCTGCTGGGAGAGCAATACAGCGGTGCACAGACAATCCAGGAACTTTTTGGAAAGCGTAGGGGACAATTTCCTGGTGCAAGTGCTGGAGGAACCAACTAGGGGCAGAGCTCTTCTTGACCTGCTGCTCACAAACCAGGAAGAATTAGTAGGGGAAGCTAAAGTGGATGGGAACCTGGGAGGCAGTGACCATGAGATGGTCGAGTTCAGGATCCTGGCACAGGGAAGAAAGGAGAGCAGCAGAATACAGGCCCTGCACTTCAGAAAAGCAGACTTTGACAACCTCAGGGAACTGATGGGCAGGATCCTCTGGGAGAATAACATGAGGGGGAAAGGAGTCCAGGAGAGCTGGCTGTATTTTAAAGAATCCTTATTGAAGTTACAAGGACAAACCATCCTGATGTATAGAAAGAATAGTAAATATGGCAGGTGACCAGCTTGGCTTAACAGTGAAATCCTTGCTGATCTTAAACAAAAAAAAGAAGCTTACAAGAAGTGGAAGATTGGACAAGTGACCAGGGAAGAGTATAAAAATATTGCTCAGGCATACAGGAGTGAAATCAGGATGGTCAAATCACACCTGAAGGTGCAGCTAGCAAGAGATGTTAAGAGTAACAAGAAGGGTTTCTTCAGGTATGTTAGCAACAAGAAGAAAGCCAAGGAAAGTGTGGGCCCCTTACTGAATGAGGGAGGCAACCTAGTGACAGAGGATGTGGAAAAAGCTAATGTACTCAATGCTTTTTTTGCCTCTGTCTTCACGAACAAGGTCAGCTCCCAGACTACTGCACAGGGCAGCACAGAATGGGGAGGAGGTGACCAGCCCTCTGTGAAGAAAGAAGTGGTTTGGGACTATTTAGAAAAGCTGGACAAGCACAAGTCCATGGGGCCGGACGCGCTGCATCCGAGAGTGCTAAAGGAGTTGGCGGATGTGATTGCAGAGCCATTGGCCATTATCTTTGAAAACTCATGGCGATCGGGGGAGGTCCCGGACGACTGGAAAAAGGCTAATGTAGTGCCCATCTTTAAAAAAAGGGAAGAAGGAGGATCCGGGGAACTACAGGCCAGTCAGCCTCACCTCAGTCCCTGGAAAAATTATGGAGCAGGTCCTCAAGGAATCAATTCTGAAGCACTTAGAGGAGAGGAAAGTGATCAGGAACAGTCAGCATGGATTCACCAAGGGAAAGTCATGCCTGACTAATCTAATTGCCTTCTATGACGAGATAACTGGCTCTGTGGATGAGGGGAAGGTGGTGGACGTGTTGTTCCTTGACTTTAGCAAAGCTTTTGACACTGTCTCCCACAGTATTCTTGCCACTAAGTTAAAGAAGTATGGGCTGGATGAATGGACTGTAAGGTGGATAGAAAGCTCGCTAGATTGTCGGGCTCAACGGGTAATGATCAATGGCTCCATGTCTAGTTGGCAGCCGGTATCAAGTGGAGTGCCCCAAGGGTCGGTCCTCGGGCCGGTTTTGTTCAATATCTTCATTAATGATCTGGAGGATGGTGTGGATTGCACCCTCAGCAAGTTTGCAGATGACACTAAACTGGGAGGAGAGGTAGATACGCTGGAGGGTAGGGATAGGATACAGAGGGCCTTAGACAAATTAGAAGATTGGGCCAAAAGAAATCTGATGAGGTTCAACAAGGACAAATGCAGAGTCCTGCACTTAGGACGGAAGAATCCCATGCACCGCTACAGACTAGGGACCGAATGGCTCGGCAGTAGTTCTACAGAAAAGGACCTAGGGGTTACAGTGGACGAGAAGTAGGATATGAGTCAACAGTGTACCCTTGTTGCCAAGAAGGCCAATGGCATTTTGGGATGTATAAGTAGGGGCATCGCCAACAGATCGAGGGATGTGATCGTTCCCCTCTATTCGACATTGGTGAGGCCTCATCTGGAGTACTGTGTCCAGTTTTGGGCCCCACACTACAAGAAGGATGTGGAAAAATTGGAAAACATCCAGCGGAGGGCAACAAAAATGATTAGGGGTCTGGAACACATGATTTATGAGGAGAGGCTGAGGGAGCAATGGTCTCAAGCTGCAGTGCGGGAGGTTTAGGTTGGATATTAGGAAACACTATTTCACTAGGAGGGTGGTGAAGCACTGGAATGCGTTACGTAGGGAGGTGGTGGAATCTCCTTCCTTTTGAAGTTTTTAAGGTCAGGCTTGACAAAGCCCTGGCTGGGATGATTTAGTTGGGGATCGGCCCTGCTTTGAGCAGGGGGTTGGACTAGATGACCTCCTGAGGTCCCTTCCAACCCTGCTATTCTAGGATTCCATGATATGAGATACAAGGCGGGTGAGGTACTATCTTTTATTGGACCAACTTCTGTTGGTAGAAAAGACAAGCTTTCCCAGGCCTCAAGAAGACATCTGCAAAGCTGGAAAGCTCATCTTTTCTACCAACAGAAGTTGGTCCAATAAAAGATATTATCTCACCCGCCTTGTCTCTGGAATGGTGGTGTCATTCTCTGGCACAGAGCTCATGATGTAGTGCGCTGATGTAAATGTATGGAGCAGGCTGTCATGCTTCAGCACAGTGACTTAGGCTATGTCTACACTAGAGAATACCGCGGCACAGTTGCAACAGTGCAGCTGCGCTGCTGTAAGATCTCTACTGTAGCCACTCTAAGCTGCCGGGAGAGCGTTCTCCTGTCTCCACCCACGACGAGCAGCAGTTGCTATGTTGGTGGGAGAACCTCTCCGGCGCTTATGTTGGTGTAATTTATGTTGCTGAGCTGGTTTATTCGTACCTCTGAGCGACATAAGTGGTAGTGTAGACATAGTGTTAATGGTGTGAAGGCAGAACGTCTTCGTCTGATGACAATTGAGGTACTAGGCTGTCGCTCCGAGATTTAATGGTGAGGAATAATTATGCAGTTACACCATGATATCCTTCTCTCATTACAGGGCATGTCATGGTGGTGTGACTGAACCGTGATGTCACGTGATGCAGTGTACCAATGTCATGGCATAGACCAGTGATGTCATGCTGCGGCGGGATGGTGAGGTGACGTCAGGGGGCAAAGCAGTGATGTCATGCTACGGGGTGATGATGTCATGCCGGGACACGTTACCCCGTGGACTGGCCCTTACCTTCTGGCTCTTGTAGGGCACCTTAGGCGGCATGGCGGCAGCGGCAACAGTCCCCCGGGCTCCAAGTCTCCCACTCCTCCTCGCTCGCTCCTTTCCCCGCTCGCAACCAGCTGCCGGAAGTTGACGCTGGTATCTATGGCAACGGGCCGGAAGTCCCTCTCTGCCAATCCAAATCCGATGAAGCGAGCTGTAGCTGACGAAAGCTCATGCTCAAATAAATTGGTTAGTCTCTAAGGTGCCCCAAGTCCTCCTTTTCTTTTTGCGAATTCAGAATGGGATTTGGGTTGCTCCCTCCCCCCACCCCCGCGGGGAGAGAATGGTACGTCCCACCCCGCCGGAAGGGAGGTCCCCAACGGAGAGAGGGGCGGGGCGTTCTTCCCATCCGGGCTCCCGGACCGGCTCATGAATTATTCATAAAATTGCCCCTCCCCCCCGCCCCCTCATGAATAATGCATAGAGGGGCGGGGCGGGGCGGCGGCTCCCGGACCCGGAAGCGGAGCGGCTGAGTCACCCCGGCAGCGCGGCTGGCTGGGATGAGGCAGCCGCAGGAGCAGCCGCAGCAGCAGCGAGCGGCGGGCGCGTCCCTGCGACACTGAGGCGCCCGCCCCCGGCGCGCCCCCGCCCCCGCCCCGCCGGCACCATGATGGAGGAGATAGACCGGTTCCAGGTGCCCACCGTGCGCGCCGAGATGCAGCCGCTGGTGAGGGGCGGGCGGGCGGCGGGGCCGGGGCGAGCCGGGCGGGGGCCGCCGCCGCCGCCTCACGCCTGTCCTGGGGGGGGGACCCCGCCCTGGGCAGCGCTGCCTCCCGGGGGGAGGGGTCCGCCCCCCTGAGGGGGCCCTGCAGGCGGGGGGAGCCCCTGGAACTCAGCGGAAAAGGGGGGGTCCCCCTGTCGTGAGGAGGCGTGAGGCCGGGGGGGGGGGGCGCGCGCGGCTTCTCCTGGCCCCCACCCATGGGGGCAGAGGGGCCACCCACCGGCATCCCCTGCACTTCCCGTGGGAGGGGGCTCCCGGAGTGTGTCCCCCCCCCGCCCCCCGCAGCTGCCCCCGGGCTCTGAGCGCCGGCCCCCGCCTATCCCCTCGGGGGGGGGGGAGGCAGGGCTGGGGGGCTCCGCCTGTCCCCGGGGGGGGCGGGGCGCAGGGGCAGGGCTGCTAACGGGACCGGGGGGGGGTCCCCGATGCCCGCCTGGCCGATGATGTCACCGCTCTGTCAGCTGCCTGTGGGCCCGCAGGCGGCCGGGGTGGGGGCCGCGCTGGCGACGACCCCTGGTTGTGCCCCCCCCCCCGTGTGTGTGTGTGTGTGTGTGTGTCGTTGTTCAGCTCTCCCCGGTCTCTCAGGCGCGACAGGGGCCGGGGGGGCCAATATGGGCTGCTTGCTGTGCTTGCCCCTTTCTCCCTGCCCTGGTTTCTGGCTGGCTTTGGGCGGAGGTAAGAAAAACCTGGCTGCTGTGTAACGTCTTGTGGAGGGGGACGGGACCGCTCTGGTGGTGGGACCTGTGCGCTTGGGGTGGGCCCTCCCATGGCCTGCTGTGGCCGCAGCTGCTGGCTCAGGACAGGACCTATTTCCCCCCCCCCACACACACACACACACTGACATTTTGCCGTTGTTAGACGGTGGCAAGCCTGGGGACTCCTTGCTTGCTGCCCCACCTGTTAGTGAGCTGCAGATAATTGATCACCAGGGTGCTGCTTTTCAAGTTGCCTGTCCATCCATGTCACTGTGCTCTGAGGATAAGTCCGAGTCTTAAGTGCTCCGGTGTACCCCAGAGTGACTTCCATGTTATTCCATGAGGAGATGTTTCTTTTCTCTGAGCAGGAATTGTGGTTGCTTCAGTGACTGTTTCTTACACAATAGTGGGGATAGTTTTCCTTTCCTTGCCCCTAAATGATCGTACATCCCTGTGCTGATACAGTAAAGGCAAAACAAGATTTATTATTTCTTAAAACTTGAATTCGGTGCCTGACTTTTGCATGGATCTTGCTGGGTGCTCTTGTATATTTACCGAATGTAGAGGAGATGTATTTCTGCCTCGGAGCACTTAAATCACAGTAAGGAGCCTTAGCGTGATTGTTCTGACTCATAGATTTTACTCAGAGGTGTGACTTCATTTACATATATTTCTGTATCATGGTATAAGGATTCTTTCCTTTAATGACTTAAGTTTTTAAAAATTAAAATGGACTTTAACATGCTTGAGTGTCGTCTTTGCATTTACCAGCACTGCATGTGTTTAACAGCAGCTGCTGTGTCATCCCTGGAACCAGAAATCCTAGTTATTACCTGTACATCTCCTCTTACCCTCCCCCTGTTCAAGAGACTCTCGTTATGATATCCTGAAACTAATACTGTGTACAGGCATACATTTGACAGTATTTCACTACTGTTTGACATATTGGGGCAAAGGCACAATTATGTTTAGCAGTGTCTGTCTTCTTTATTTTGACTTAGTTGTATACGCCTCTAGAATAAATCCTTTAGTACTTGGAATGATCTGGTCAGATTAAAATCACTACTTTTTGAATGTTTACGTATTCTACAAGCATCCCATTAAGGTGATCAGGATTTTGTGCTTTGGATAGCCTGTCTTGCCACTTTCTTCAGTCAGCCAGTTCCCCTGATACTTTTGTGGATCTTCAGTACAGCAACAGGTAGAGACACACACCTTAAAAGCAGAAATATGTGATTGTAAAACTGCAAAACTTGGCAGTGGAGCTTTGGGAAGGCCTGGACTAGAGCGGATGTCTTCAAACTTTCATGGCATTGACCACATCTTACTAGGCAGATGGCCTTGTGGCATACTTCCCCTTCAAATCAGATATATGCTCCAACTTCCTTCCCAGTTGTGATCATATAACATCCCTGTGGCAGGTATCGCAGTTAAATATGTTGAAAAGTAAAAAGAAATAACTTACTGTATTTGTAGCTGTCTTTTAATATGATCAACAAGCTGGAAACAAAGTGTTGGTATGAGGTGAATAACCCATTCTCTGGATGAACATTGGTCAATGGTCTGTCTTGGAAACCTTTAGAGTTAGATGAGCTAATGATATTGGAGACTGACAGGAATGTATCTTAAATAGGATATTTGTATACAACACAGTTCATGCTATGAATCTGCAGATTATGCTCCATATTAAATTTAATGGTCATTCTCTGGGTAAATTTGCATTTAGGCAATTGTTTGCCTGAAGAATCTAGGTACTGTACAAACACATCTTCTTTATCAAAAAACTGCTTTGTTTGCATACAGTGCATTTTTACTGTTTGCATGGGTTTATTTCTATAGCTACTGGAAGTGGAAAAGACACTTTAACTCCAAAATTCAGGTGTGATTATGTAAACAAAGACAACTGAAATGATGGCTACAGCACAGGAAGAGACACGAGTTTCTGTAGACTGAGGAATACAGGCCACCATGGTTTGATGTTTGCTTAAATGTGTAAAGTAAAACTTACTAGTGGCTTTGAGTTTCAGAATGGTAGGGAAAGGTGTTTAGCTTGCAATGACAGTGCCTGGTCTCTCATAAAACAATTCCAAACCTGCCTTTCATTTTGTGAGCCCATCATACAGCCTCATACTGCGTTGTTTTGATAAGCAAGGCTCATTTGCGATCCTTGCTCTCCAGCTGCACAGTGCAAAACACGTGAATGTGTTTGCCCAGTTTTCTCTGCACCTGGAAAGACTGGTTCTCTCAGACACGAGCACTCTATCTTCCTCTCATTTGTGCCTGTCTCGTGTTTACAGGGCTTTTGTTTTCTTTGCTTAGGGGTGTTTTCTGTGTGTTATGGGTGACCCCCCCCCCGACCTCAAGGGATCCAGCAGTAAATTTCACGTTGATATTAAAGTGGAGACTTGCTAACTAACTGACTCACTCAGAATTCTGATTCCCACTGGCCCAGTATGTAAAAGCCATCTCTGGTATCTAATTGCATGAGATCCCAGTATGAAATGTTTGAGAAGAGCTGGAAATAACTTAATTAAAAAAACAAGTACTTCTACAAGTCTCCTTAACAGTAGTTGGTTGTGGACTTATTGACAGGGTTCATTTTAGCACTGAAGATGTTCAATACTAAAATTTTTAGTGGGACAGACTTCTTGTTTAGAGCTAAAGACACCCCACCTTACTTCTGAATAATTTCTTATTGCACCCAGTATGTTACAAGATTATTCAGAAAACATAAATAACTGCCTGGTGGACTTATTTATTTTTAAATGAAGAAGCTTGTACCAGTGTTTGAAAGAACCAGCTTGGGCATCATCAGTGGCAGAGTGAAACTGACAAGGCTGTTCACCTGCACTCCCATCACCTTTTGCTTAGTAGCGAAATTAGCGAGTTTGTAAAAACTATTGGCAGTACCAGAGGAAACGGTCTAAAATTTAACTGGCTCGAGGTGGGGTGGGAACATGGCTCTAAACGCAGAAGCTGGGATAAAGGTAGAAAAGCAGACTACACACACAGTAGCTAAGAGGTTTTACAGTGATGGGGAGTGGATAAAGGAGAGCTAATTTCTCCCTTTCAGCACCCAGCTTTGAGGCCAAGAATTTAGCAAGTTTCAAAAATGGATTGTACACTTATGAATATTAAGACTATCGAGTAATCATAATTATACATTTTGGAAGGGATGTTAAACAGCATGCTTCAGGGCTTATGCCAACCTCTAACTGTTAGAGGCCAGGATGAGGTCTAGCATGTGGGGCAAATTACTGCACATCTGCCTACTGCAGGGTTTGTGCACCTTCCTCTGAAGCAGCTGCTACTGGTCACTGTCAGAAAAAGGGTACTGGACTACTTGGACCTCAGGTCTGTTCCAGTATGGAGCTGTTCCTGGGCTCGGGGTGGCTTAATATCTTTTGCACTTACTAGCTAGTGACCTGATGTGAGAGAGGGAGCGAGAGCCATAGACTGCACCTTGGTTGGAATCCCAGCAGCTCAGGAACAGACTTAGGTTTCTCACCATGGCATTACCCTTGGACATCACTGATGGGCAAGGGCTCCCTTCTGCATTTGAATCAGTCTCCACCCAGTACATGCCATTAGTTTTGTAATTCCTGGGTTATATTGCCTCTTTCAGAAATGAAGAGACCCAGTGAGTGAAGTAATATCTTTTACTGGGCGAACTTCTGTTGGTGAGACAAGCTTTCAAGCTACACAGAGCTCTTCTTCAGGTGATCTGAAGTTCATCCAATAAAAGATATTACTCACCCACCGTGTCTGTCTAATATCCTGGGACTGACATGGCTACAACACTCTTCAGAAATATTCAGTGTCATGGCAGTGGAAGGTGCTGGCTACTTAAACAGCCCAGCAGGCTGAAGTGTTCTGCTCAGTCACAGAAACAGGTGCTGTGGCAACATTGCAAGCTTCCTCCATGCACCACCCTGATAATGTGCCAGCCCTGACCTTTGGGATTGTCTAGGCAGACTTAAGTCCCTCTAGCCTATATCGTCTATGGCTTCTCTGATGAAACCGCTAAAGAGCGAAGCACTTACAGTGGCTCTGTCATGGGGATATCTGTTCAGTAGGAACTGCACTGAGACTGCCCACTTGCTTTACCTGGAAGCCACAAACTACTGTATGGCAATAATGTTTGGCCGTATCCTGTACCAAATCCAAATTGGTAAAAAGCGCCACTTCTTAGTTCCTTGTTTGTTCACTTTCATCTCTTGAAAAACATACAAATAAAACAAGAATCAGATGACT